ACATATATACAACAATGATTTATGCAATTCAGAGGAACAAGGATGATAGCAATTGATAGGCCAGAGAGAAAAAAATCTGTTTATTAAAAACCTGTGTGAGACATATTCAAATAAAACTTCAAATAAAATCAACCATACTTGATTTTATTTATCTTTATGTATATGATACAGCAAATGTCCTCCAAGAAATCTTATAGTTAATTTATGTCCCCAGTAAAATTAAGGCAAGTGTCTCATGAACTTTTACTTACTTTACATGGAAATAATGCAAAATTATGATTTCACGTGTTTTCAACTGGGGCTCACAAGAAGGTTGTGTAAAATCCAACATGATAAAGCAAAGCTAAATGTTGTAAGACAGCAGACCAGGCACTTAAAGATGAAAAACATCAGCACAAACTCCTGAAAAATGAAACTTCCAAGATTTCAAAAATTAGTAGAACAGCAAAATTAATTCATATTCAGCACAATCCCATATATATGTAAGGATATTTTGGTATAATGTAATACATACTGAGAATCTAGGATGGATTTTCATGTGACTGACTGTATTTCTCCTGTACTGGTCAGCACAAAACAAGGACACTGCTCAGGCATTGATCAGTGGGTTACTAATTAAAGGAAATTCAAGGATACCCTAACTAAACTTATACGTTTAATAAAATAGTAAAGAAGTGCTGTTGAATTTGCAGATTCCTTCTGTTATTTATATGAGAATACGCTATTCACTGTATACCTAACTGTAAGAAGGCAATTTTCAGAGTCTCTGACAGGTATGAGGCTCAGAATGCAGGAGGCTATTATGTCCCAAATCTTAGGAAGCGCAGATGAAAACTGCTTAAGACCCCAGGTGGTTAACCATGCAAGGTACTCCAACAAATAGGAGATGCTAAAATTGGTAGTGCCCAAGGCAGCTGCTTCGTTTACAGTTCAGTGTTTCATCCAGTTGTGAGGAAATGAACGGGTAAAATTATTCAACCAGTAGTTGCTTTTGTCTGCTTGTCTCCCAAAATCCCATGTATCTTTACACAAATTTTGTCTGATCAATATCGTAGTGAAAGCCAGGGAATGTAGTCATTCAGGCATGGAATGAGTAACTACCTTTTTGATCAGTTAGGGTTTACTAGAATTTATAACTTCTGATAGCTTTATTTTATACTTAGATGCTCTAAAACTGATTTCATTAACAAAACAAAATTGATGTTTACCTGTGTGGTCCATACACTATGAACCACAAAATATGCTTCAGTATTTCTGACAGAGATGCTTTTATTATTTTAAACATTAAGGTCACAATTATTTATCACAATTTTTTCTCTCTGTATCCCTAACATTTAAGAAAACCATGAATTTGAATAAAACACGGTTTCAAACACCTTAATGGTATGAACTACTCTTTCATGCCGTGGCACAAAAACTTATCTCATAATCACATGCCTTTGGCAGTATGGTACTTGTTTACAGGAGAAAGCTAAGTATTTCATGGACATTTGCTCTTTTGGATGTGTGTTAGTAGCAGGAAGTAAAAGAAAAATAAGTATTTACATTTCACAGGAAGAATTTAACTGGATCTCAGTGGCTGATAGGTGAAACTCTGAGAGTGTCTGACACACACATCAAGTAGAGTTTAATTAATAATGTAGAAACAAAATACACATACATTATACTACGCTGCTTCTTCTGAGTTACTGTTTTTGAGGGTTACATAATTGCTGTCCAGTTTTACCCAGTGTTGTTGACGTGCAACAAAATTTATTTTAGCTGTCCTTGTGTTATTAGAAAATAATGCTTGAAATGAATATGTAATGAGTAATCAATTTATCAAGACCACAGCCAGAGAGACAGGTTTTAACTTACATTACTTTGCTCACAGTTCCAGTGATTCAAGTCTTGGTCAGAACAGTACACTAAAATACATCTGCATGAAAAGTCTGAATCTGGATACTCTGAATTTTCAAGATATTTGAATTTTCAAGATATTTTAATTTGGATTTTGATGTGTACCTTGCCTCTGACATAAGTTTAAAATGGTGGAACTGAGTCTCTGATTTAAGCACCCTATGACTTTCAGATTTGAAGTCAAAATGGAAATTTCTGAATATTTTTCATCACATCTTCTTTGAAGAGGAAAAACAAAATAATAAAATATGAGCAAATAGAACAGAAAAAGAAAAGAAGTCTAAAAAAGCTGCTTTCAGTTTTGCTATGTCCTCATTCTTCATTGGCAGTTTTCACTCTTTCAAAAGCTAAAGAAACACTTGGGTTCATGAAAAAACAAATACAATTCTTTTTCACATCTCTGGGAAAAAAAAACCAACCTGAATATACAGGTTTATATTTCATAAAACATCACTGAAAAGATAAGACCACACCTAATAGCCATACATGTCACTGCATGTTGCAATTTTATTTGGGCTGATATATTATTGAAAATTTATTATCTTGGGTTAGACAGCATTTTGGAAATTATTAAACCAGATTAGGATATACTAACTGGTTCCCAAAACCTCACAGAGGACACTGCCTATGACAATTTTTTCCAACAAACCTAATAGCCTCTTTCTTCACATTGAAGCTGAAATTGTTTTAGTTGTTATTTTCCCTAAATTTTTTCTCATGTGTTCAGAATTGCTTTAGCCTGCTTTTACTACTTGTACTCTAACCTAAATCCCCTGCAAGATAAAGAAAAATAGACTTGCTTTTTAGGGAATAACATGTACGTAGAACAATTGGAGGGAGGTCATGATTTATGCAGAAACTGAACACTATAAATTCAAAGGTTATCATGAGTTTGTATCATATATTACCCCCTAATTTGGGGATCTACAGATTGTCATATTGAAAAAAGCAAAAAAACCCAAAAATCAAAGAAACTTTTCCCTGCAAATATTTTCCACTGTGAAATATTTTATCAAACTTATTTTATATCATACTGTTTCTCCTCCACACATTACAGCTTTCAAATTCAAAAATCGCAACACTATTAATTGTTAAAAAAGCTCTTTTAAAAAATATGCATGAGATTCTTCTGAGTTGTATTATATATATTTTCTGCAAAGGAAATGTATCTCCAAAGACCTCTTTAGAGTGGTCTTGAGCCATGTATTTCCCTAGTTCAATCAAAAAAAAACTCATTTCAATGAAATAAAACAAGTGAAAATAATTGAATACATCATGAAATGATCTAACATTAACAAAGGTTGTAACTAAGTTCTGCTAACCTTATTAGGGAAAGAAAACCCTCTGTAATAATCTGTCAAATTACAAAATTTACACATTACATAAAGAGAGAACAAATCCATGCTGCAACAAAACCCAAACTGACCTTAACCCTGAAGTTCAAGTTCATAAATACTACCTGTGTGAGAACAAGCCCCAGAAAGAAGTCACAGTCAATTTGCTTGTGTTTGCTTATTTCTAATACAGAGTAAGTGTTTTGAGATGCTCAGAAAAGTGCTGCAGTGTACTTGAATATTGCTCAAGTAATAATGCAGGTAGCATTATCAGATGGGCAGGAGATAAGTAGGCTTCCCTACCTGTGTTCTTTCAGTAGGAACTAAACTCGGAGTTCCCTTGGACTTCTTTGAAATATCTCAGTAATGTCTTTGAGATGATTCCATTTAAAAGTTAATATTCATTTAGAGATTCAGTTCACACGTGGATAATTGAAATATCACTGTTACTTAGAAGGTTTTGTGTATGTGACAGAGGACTAAGAGTGCTTCATGGCAACTGCTATGTATGCAACATCTCACATCACATATTTACTAAACTAAGCAGTGTTAAATCTGGAATTTAGTTTAATCCCCATTTTTGAAGGGAAAAATTTACTAAAGACAGGGACAGAAACACTTCTTGCTACACTTATAACCATAGCTAGCAGATATAAAGAAACTGTGTTACTGATAAATATCTGCAAGGTTTAAAAAATGCACTTTCCTGGAGTTCTTTTTGCTTTCATTGTGTATAGTCTTGATGAGGAGACAAATGTGCTTTTTGGGACTGCAATGAAATTCATCATCCTGCTTAGTAATAAATTTTTTACAAAAATAGCTTATACATGATCAATAGATTTTTCTTTTAAAAATAACTATTTATTGCAAGTCCATCATTATCATAGACTGCTTATAACACCATTATTACTTCGTTGTAGAACTGATGCCTGTCACTATCAATAACGTTAATACTTTCCAAATATACAACACAGATATAAAATCTATTGATCATGCATTAATCTGTTATAATTGGAACTCCTATTCATAGTACAACCAAATTAAATTTATAGTTTTCACCTCATGTAATATGTTTCAAATTTGGAATGTGATTCTATATGATATAGGGAGTTATCAAGCCCTGAGACTTGCTATGTAAGACATCTAAATACTTATATTCTTGGTGTGCGGACATTTCAGTTTAATTAGTCTAGCCCTGAGTGTTTTTTTTCTGCTAACATGCTTAAATATAAAGTCACGTGTTTAGAAATAATGATATGTACCATTGTTTTCATAGCTTTATTTAAAAATAAACCTCTGGGAAAATCTAGTTTCCCCAAAAAAATAATCCAAACACTTTAGCAATCTGTTTCCTCCTTGTAAATAGCACAACCATTTGTCAGGATCTCCTCCAGTTTACAAGAAAACACTCTTTAGCCACTAGATGATTTTGTTGTAAGTAATCAATGATGTGATGTTGGAAATGATTTTGTAAAGAACACTCTGAGATGGAAGGTGTTTGGGTTTGTCCCTTTTAGCATATGGTTTCACTGGATAACATTGTTTAAAAAGACAGATGAGAAAGCAAAGCAAAGCAAAACAAAAACCTTCCCCGGGACTGAAATACTCTGTATGTGTTGTTATTTGCAGTGCATGCCAAGACATTCATGGGCACCAGAGCCAACCTGGCGAGCTAATTAAATATATAAATGTATGTGTTTAAAACAGCCTTATAAGGAGCATTGGAAATCTGCAAGATGAGCGAATATCTTATAACTTCTTCCGCAGGTGCGAGGATAGCTACAAGCCATGGACTTTCTGTCCTGCTTCTTGTTTGTGGCTTTGTGAAGGGTGCTTTGCTTTAATCTAAAAGTGCTGACTTTTTCCAATATCACTTTCTCTTCTTAAAGCAAAGAGCAAATCGCCTGTAAAATCCACGGAGCGGACAGCAAAGTTGACCCTAACCTCCAACCACCACTCTGCACCCAATGTACTCTAAATCTCTACACAAGGAGCACCTTCTTCAGGAAGTACAAACAAAATTACTAAATGAATAAAATAAAATAAAGTAAAATAAATATTATAAAAAAAAAGAAGAGGATACCACGTTTTCTTGATATATCTTATTTTCTTTGGCGTATCACTGATATTTTATTTGAAGAGAACTGGTGTGATGTAATCAAACGTTTTGTAACAGCAAGACCTAGTTTCTTTTTCTTTCGGCAAGGAGAAGCCTCATCCTTGACTTCTCAGGGGTTGGCCTGCGAGTCATCAGTATTACAGAATTAACCATGGATGACATTTGGTTTCCTACACTGAAAGAACCATTCCAGCCTGGAAGCAAAAAGAGGCCAAATAATGAAACAAACCATAGTGATTTAACATCGACCCAAATAAAATACACGCAAACTTTATCAAAAAGCCTTTTTTTCCTTTTTTTTTTTTTGGCATGAGAAATAGGGAGGAGAAAATTAATTCCACAAAGCAGCTCAGCAGACTAGAGGATGTTGTTTCTGGAAAACAAATGAGGGTATTTTTCTTTTGAGTTTTTTTTCTTTTTCTTTTTTCTCTTTTTAATATATTATTCTTTTTCCCCTGTGAGGTTTTTTCCTGTCTTTTTGTTTGCTTCTTGTTCAATGGTGGCAATTACAGACTTAGGCCAACCCCTGATGATTGTGTGGAGGTTTATATATATACATCTTTTTTTGTGTGTGTGTGCGTTCTATATTTCAGTGTGTTTTCTCTAATTTTGCAACTCCTGTATATGCAAAACTAACTTAAATTCTGTAAATTGCTTACAGTCTGTGTGATATAACTTCAGAGTAGACATACTTTGGTCCTCATGCAAGCCAGTTTTTAATATTATCTATATGTCGTGCCACCGAGAGACATTTTAATTTCTTTTCTTGACAAAACATCACTTTTACTTTGTAATTTAGTAATGTGTGGATTTTGTAATAATATTCTTCACTTTGACTGGTTTGACTCCCTTCAGCCCTCTGTTTACTCTGTAAATGCACATTAAAATTTGTTATGGTCTCTAGACAACAAATTATTTTAGTTTGTATGTTGTGTTGGAGTTCAGATGCTGAAAGCTCTTTTAACTTGTGATGTTTATAGAAGATGAAGTGATTCAATTACTAGAGACTGTAAAATGCAGGTTTGCAGTCAAATACTGCATGTAAAGGAACGTTAGAAACAAAACAGTCAAATAAACCAGAACATGACTTAAAGGAGGTTCTTTTGGTAAAGAGTTATAGGAAAATGAATTTATTACACTGATAAACTATATTCTCATCATGGTTTCTCTACACGGCCAAAGAAGCATTTTTCTTTGCTTTTTCTGGAAGTGGATTTTCATTACTCATTGATATTCTTAATTAAAATATTTTTTGTCTGTGAAATGAACACGAGAATTTGCTGTTGAATGATGTAATATGCGTTACATGAATTACATTCATTAATGCAGGAAGGAAAAATTGCTACCATTTGCAGCTGCAATCAGGAAGGTTTTTTTCTTGTTCCCCTCTTTCCACTGATGCTGAAAAATTCACACCCTTTCATTTATCAGCACAGACAATCACATATACCACATGCTTATTATGATCTATTTACAGCAGCATTAAGTAGTTGCAGTGTGGTCAGATGTGTGATTTCTCCTCACTTTGTAAGCAATGTAGAAGGAAGCAAAAAACTATGTTTAATATCTCACCAGTCTGTGGTCAACAAGCCTAGCATTTTATCTCAAAACTCTCATAAGTCTGAAGTCTTCCTCCATTACTTTCAAAGAATAAATACCAATTAGGAGTATAGAATCAACACTTTGGAACACTGATGGTTTGAAAAAGGATAATGTATTTGTGCGGTTCTAATTTCCCATACATTCTGTGCTATAAGCTTGATTGGGAATAGTCAGTCTTTCTTTGATTTTAATCTAAGCAGTAATAAAGAGAGAAGACATTTGGTGTAATACAGACAAATCAGGAATAACTGTCAGAGAAAAAGGAAAAAAATTCTTCTATATTAACATAAAATTTATAACCCACTTGGAATGTTGTCTATTGAAAAAGTTTTGCTCCATAGTAACAACAACCTACCGATAGAAAGATTAAAAACAGTCCCCATTTAAATGTTCCTAATCAAAACCAAAATTGTGGATCAGAGAGGATGTAAAAGAAAGGAGTCAAGAGAGTCAGATCTTTTTGAAGTCTCACTTTCTGAACACACCGATGGAACCAAACTTTCAGAACTCTGGAGAGAAATTTACATTTTCACCATGAAATGGATGTCTATGACTGGATGACATGAGAACCTCCTGCCTGGAGCTCGGAAACTTCAGTTTCCATTGGTATTAACTGGAACCAAATGCTTAATGTCACATGTTTTTTGTTGGTTTACTGTATCCATATAACTTGTATGACTATTCCATGTATGCACAGTCATATAAACTACTCACAGTGACATATGACATTTTGCAGAGCACTTTAGCCTCACAATGTTAAGAGTTGTTACTATGTTAAACTGATATTGTGTTTTGCTTTATGCTGTTAGCTGCTTGGATATAAATCACCATGTACTAGGAATCCAGATTAAAGAACCAGCTGAAATTAAAAGTAGAATTCTAGACCACTTGGCCTAGTGTGATGCAAGTCAAGAGACATTACCAAAAAAAGTGCCATATTGTGATCTGCTATTGTTCAACAGTATCAGCAGAAAAAGGCCAAAAAAAATCTGTGGGACTTTTGAAAAACCTTTAAATCTTGCATGAGATGCGAAGGGGATACAATAACTGTCCTCTTTCCTCCCTCCACAGGATAACATGCCCAAATTCTTCAGATGAGGTTGATCCAGCCTTTCTGGTTGCAGATCTAGAGCACAGCTTTAGAGTTTCTGTCAATCTGTGTGGATGCAGAAGCAACATCTCCTAACAGGAGAAAGTATTGCATTTCTAAATTCTATGTTTTGTCTTAACATTTTGACAGCCATTCTTCAGATCGAGAATCTTCCTGAAGATCCTAGAAATTCTCATATTGGAAGTTAAGCTTCAATAGTCCCCCTTTTTTCTAAGAACTGAGTTATGAATAATATTTGGTATAGAAATGCAACTACTGCCAATTTCTGTCTGGTGTAATTCTAGTTTGGCTTTAACACCAATAGATAAAAAAATTATCCTTTAAAGGTCCTTATTGAGTTAGGTATCTAAAGGGTCAATTTACATCTAGAAGTGGTAAAATCTCTCAACCTTTCCACAAAAACAGTCCAGTTTTGAGATGGTCATTTACATGACTCATGCTTCTCACTTTGTGTCCCAAAGGCCTCATTGTATATGTGACTTTCTTTGGATCATTCCAACAATTTTTGTTTTTAATGAAAGAATAAGCATGGGTAAGTATGGAACACTTGTATTTCAAGGTATATGCCATCTACATTCACACACTTTGAGAACTGGTATTTCATCAGGCTAAAAGAAACATATTCCAGCCCCATTAAATGTCAATGACAGTTTTTGTATTACATGAAAAAAAGATCTGTGGCATTTTTGTACTACTGCTCAATGATTAGTATTGCAACAGAGCTTGTCTCAAAAGGTCTCCTTTTCTATGGTTACTCATATTCCTTTAAGCTCTAGAATTTCACGCATACAAGTTGTTGTGTAACATGTTTGAACTTTCCTTTCTTAGTTGCCTTTTGTAGATTCTTCAAATTTGTGGAGCATGAGGGATGCTTAGACCATAGATTTAAAAATCTTGGAAGACTAATTTAAGATTATCTGATCCTCAGAGCTCCTATTAAGAAAGGTACTAGAAAATGTGCATGGTAAATGCTGAATCTATCATGAGTTATTATTATTTCTTTTTCATTCTCAACATTGAAAATTTATATTACAGCAATACCTGAAGCCAAAGATCAGAAGTAGGTATAAACATATGAGACATCATGGCAAATGCAATAGGACTGCTTAGAGGTTCATACTTATACATGTAATTCAGTGCTGCTGTGATTTAGGATCAGAACACGCTCTAGAACCAGTTTTTCTCACATTCATTCTTCAAAGTATTTTTGCTTCGTTCAAATAAAATGAGAAAACAGTGGCCACTGCAAAAATCTGAATGTTTGCCTAATATTTTTCAGTGTTAAACATTTCACTTCTAATGATCTTTACAGTAACGTATCATTCATAATTTAATTCATCGTTTAAAAAAAAAGAAAAAAACTGCACTGCTGTCAATCTTTGGTTCCTTCCTCAAAAAAAAAAAAAAAAAGGAAGAGAGAACAATTCAAACCTTTGTCATTTGCAGGGTATGGGAATATTTGTCCATGATATTATTATTGGTAAATGTCAGATGTTGTTTACAGAGTTAAAAGCATTAGGAACCAAGAATGGGATCATCATACTTTACAATATAAATTTTTAAAGGTTAATGTTCATGATTAGCTCAGCTATACAATGCTAAGCACACAGTTGCTTAATGCAACTCACCATAAATGCCTTCAGTCTTTTGTTCTGAGCTTCCTAAATATTTACTTATTTGATTTCACAGTCATAAAATTTGCAGATATGTTGACATAGTTGAAAGATTATACATATTTTTTCTAGTGCTCTTCATCCTATCAATAAAAGGAGAAAGTTAAATCAATCTGTAACAATGAATCACAATCAATTTTTAGGCATATTTGCAAAGAAACAGCAGTACGCTTTCTTGAGAGTCAAGTTTAATTGCAATCTTATTTCATTTTTTCCTTTTTCTACTATTCTTTTTCTGCGAAACCTTCAATCTAAAACCCAGAAAATACTGTTTATCTTACTACTTCTTACAAAGTGACAGAGGACAAAATAATGTCACCTTTGTTATGAAAGAATGTAGAGAGGAAAAAGTAGGGGAAAAGAATCTTTTCATTTAACAATAGTCTAAATATCTGCAGTACCCATCACCTCAAAATATCTTGATATATATATATAATTTGAATTCCAACTATATCATTCTGACAGTAGAGATGGTCTTCAGTTGGGAGCAAATGAATTCACTTATTGAAATGATCCTTTACATTAACAATGCAGCAGAGAAAGAGATCTTAACTGTACATGAGAGTATTTACAGACAGCTCATAAGGAAGTCAAAATGTACATAATAGACTATTAATTCCTTTCTTCTTTTTATATGCCATGAACTTGAAGAACGAGAGATTCGGTCTGACAACTAGCTGCTTAAAATAAACTATTTCATTTAAAACTCTGAAGAAGCAAATTCGTTATTAAAATGATTTGTATAACTATAACCTTTTAGATTATATGGGGTTTAGATTTTTACGCAAAGTTATATATATTATATATAATATCCTTGTATATTCAATTGAGAAGGAAGGAGACAATGACTTCTTTTGCTACTTCTGATAGAAGATTATGTTTATTGCTGCTGATTGTTTTCAATATCAAATGACTTAACAGACCCTTTAAATCACTTAAAAAATCGAGTGCCACTTTTTCTATCACCTACGATACCCTTCAGTTTTTGATTGTTAACCAACACTGGTTCAGATTTTTAAAATGTTGCTTTTTCCTCATAATAGAAAAGAAGGAATCCACACTTTATTAAAAATAAATGTCAACATGTTTACTAAACCACCTTAATGTCTTTTTCTTTGGTGATTTGGGCACAAGATATATTATTTTTGTTCATATATTTATCCACTCAATGGGGTTAAGCACTGAAAAAAAGACAGGGAAAAGTGGATCCTGGTTGTTCCACCTACTAAATGAAATCCTGTGTAAGAGAGAGAAAACAGAAGGTATGATTCTTCTGTTTCCCTACAACAGCCAACAATGAAGAACCTTCACAGGGACTAACAAACTAAATCACTGCCATAAAAGATGATTTTGATAATTCAACTTTGTAACAAGGTGAAACACTCAATAAAATGGAAAGAAATTTCTCTAGCAAAATGTAAAAAGCTTTTCTTCCAAAACTATGATTCTTCCAACTGATTAGGGTTTTGAACAGGGGAAGGTTTTGTCCACCTTTTGCAACTGCACAATGGCTATCCCAAAGAGCCTGTCAGGTGTTTCCATCCCACCAGCACTGCCCCACACTTGATTATTAATGATGATGCCACCCAGGAGATTAATATATATTTCAGAACAATAATTTTCTATACCTAAATTTATTTTTTTTACTATTTTTAGCTTTTCAGTAGAAAAAAATCTTAGGTAGTTTTCTTTTAAGAAGTGAGGTAATGTTTCCATAATTCATAAGTGTTGTAGATAGTTTGGGAGTTTTGTTGTTGTTTTGGGTTTTTTAAATAGTTCTTAGCACTTAACAGAACAGGCTTAAAAAGTCACCCAATGGTATTCTAAAGCTGTCTTTGTGCAAGAACTACTTGCATTAATGGAAAAAAAAACAACTAAC